CCTATAACAGAATAACCCTTGATCAGTGACGAATGTCGTCTTTTCTTGATCTTTTTTCCACAAGGGTATCTGATGGAAACCAGAATAGGCATCCATGAAGCTCATCAAGGCATGACCGGCTGTAGAGTCGACGAGGCTATCGATCTTTGGAAGTGGATAGCTACCCTTCGGACATGCCTTGTTCAGATCTGTGTAGTTTACACACATCCGCCAGGTACCATTCGACTTCTTGACAAGAACAACGTTTGCTACCCAATCCGGGTAGTAGCATTGCCGAATGAACCCGGCATCTAGTAGCTTCTTGACCTCGACGGCTGCCGCCTGAGATCTTTCTCGTCGTGGTTCCTTTTCTTTTGCCTAACCGGCTTCTTTTTTGGATCCATGGCAAGTTTGTGGACAGCAAGATCCGGGCGGACGCCTGGCATCTCTTCCACTTCAAAGGCAAAGATTTCTTTGAATTCTTTCAAGAGTTGGTGCAAATCTGCGCCCAACCTTGCATACGCAACCGTCCCCACTTTAACGGTTTTTCCGGACGGCTGTCTTCCAAAGCTATGTCAATATTTTCACCAGTTAGCTGGGGACGAAGATGGTCTAATCGCTCCCCGATCATTGATTGTTATTTTTTCTCTTTTTTGACGGCCACAAGGTGGTCCGCCTTTCTCTTTTTCCCGGCTGCCTAAGGAGCAGGCGCAGCTTCCTTGAAATAGTCAAGGTTGATGGGTTCCTCTCCTTGGCCAGCTGAGGCCACAGTCGGTTTGACGTCTGAGAGATAACACTCTCTAGCCGTCTTCTGATCCCCGCTCAGGGAACCCACAGTTCCATCATCCCTCTCAAACTTGATCAGCATGAGGGAGGGAATGATAACAGCCTTGGACTCGTTGAGGGTTGGACGACCAAGAATAAGATTGTAGGCGGTCAGTTCCTCGACCACCAAAAACTTGACGACCATGTGCCGTTCTTCCCCCTTCTCTCCAAGCCGGATGGGTAGGTCAATCCTCCCCACCGGATGCACTACTCCTCCCCCAAAAGCGACTAAGGGGTGAGAAGCCTTGTGCATGCTGCTAGGCTTGTACTTGAGCTTTGCCAAGAACTGATAGCTGATCAGGTCAGACGAGCTCCCGGTACCAATTAAGATCCGGCCCACCCGCTGGTTGGAAACTTTGCACTCGATGACTATGGGGTCATCATGAGGCCGCCTGACCTTGCCTCGGTCTTTCTCAGAGATAAGGACCTCAAGGAAGGTGTCTTTCGACGCCTAGCCCTCATCTACTGAATTGACCAGCTTCCGGATGTTATCCTTGGCACCCCAGATGGTAGGACCCCCTCCCGCAAAGCCATCTGCTATGGTGAAGATTTGCTCATCATCAGTATCTGAGCTCACAGCCGGCTTTTTGGACGGTTGTCCTTTGTTCGGTTTGGTGTTGCCCTTGCACTTCACCATATAAGACTTCAAAGCCCACTCATCAGCCAGACGGTCCAATAGCCGGCTGAGGCTATAACAACCATTGGTGTCGTGGCCAATGTCCTTATGGAATTGGCAGTACTTGCTCTGGTCCCGACTATTGACGGGACTCTTCATTACAGCCCGTTTTTCGATGGTCAACCGGTCTTTTATCTCCATGAGGATGGAGGAGCAGTCCTTGTTGAATTCGTACTTGGGGACGTACGACTTCTACTCTCTCTTTTTCTTCTAGGACGGCTGACTAGAACGGTCTGTCGCCCAGACTTCTTTTCTCTTCTTGCCCTCTTCTTTCATAACCGGCTGAGCAGACCGGTAGTCTCTTCTGTCGGACTTTTTAGGGTCTGACGGGTGCTTGATGGCACAGAGCTCCGTCGCCTGTATGAAGGCTTCGGCTTCCATCAGCGCCTCTTGAAGGGTAGCAACCCTCTTTCTGACCAGGTCGAACTTGAAAGTCGACCCGTCTTTCAGACCCTTGAAGAAGTCTGTGTAAGTAACTTCGTCAGACAGCCCTTGGATCTGAATTCTCATCAGATTGAACCGCCTGACATAGGACCTTAGTCCCTCCTTGTCTCCCTACTGTATAGCCCCCAAATCAAGGCTTGTCTTTTTGGCAGGGATGTTCATGGACAAGTTGGACGTGAAGAGGTACGCCAACGTCTTGAAGTTGTTGATGCATCTGGCTGGCAGATTGCCAAACCACCGTTGGGCTATGCCCTTTAATGCTTCCGAGAAGCATCGGCACCAGGCGGCATCATCCAACCCCTGTAAGTACATGAGGTTGGTGTAGGCCATGAGGTGGTCTTCCGGATTGGTGGTACCACGTAGGTACCAACCAACACATTTTTAACCTTGGTCGGTCGTGCCGCCTCGGTTATTTCCCTTGAGAACGCCGATGGTTGTTCCCCTAGGTTAAGCAGCCGGAGCTGCCAGTCCATGGGTTGGACCTGCTGTGCCGCCTGACCCCCAAAGAGGGCCGGCTGCATGTATGGAGATCCATACGACAAGTATGGTTGTTGGGGCACATACGGAGCCGGCTGGATAATCTGAGGGCCAGTGCGTGCGGACATGCCGCGTGACTGACTCTCTCGGTTTGTCTCCGAATACTTCATTGAAGTATTACGGACTGTCTAGGTAAGTCGACGTCGAGGCCGACTCAGACATTTGTTGACTTCTCTTCTCCTGGATAAGCATCCAGGCATCAGAGTAAGTCTTTTTTTACCCATCCGGCTGTACTTGGCGGATGGTCTTCCTTTGCCTTGATTCAGAGAAACGAAGTCTAGATAGGTCGATCAGAGGAGGCCCATCCGCCCCCTTTGGTTTAGGGTGCGGGGTAGGCACCCGATCTCTGATTTGCTTCTTCCCGGAGGGAGAAGGCTTCTTGGCCGGCTGACCCCTATTAGAGTTAGTGGAATTTTTTATTATGTCCTTTATTTCCCCCTTGAAACTCGTCATAAATTTCATGAGTTCGTCTCTGGTGACGGGGGCTGAACCCTCCGCCGCCAGGGGTGCACCCGCAGGCTAGCTGGCTGGGCTGCTAGGACCAACATTGTCTTAGCCTCGTTCCCTTGTTTCTTTGAACGGGTGTGTCTCGTTCTGAAAGTCCCGTCAAGGGCCACGTAGGTGTCGATTGCATAACCGTCACCGCTATCTTGGTCCGTATGGACCTCGGTCTCGTCCATAGGCCGCTTGCCCTCAACAGGCGGTACAGAGTCAGATGCCATCTCAGAAGTACTCTCCCCACAGACGACGCCAAATGTTCGGGGTTTTTTATGTGTCCTACGGGAGAGTTACAATTCCGAGAATGCGCGTCCAGCTGTCTGTACCTGCAAAACCATGAAACTCCGGTTGGGTGGAGTTCCGCCTCCGACGATCAAGTTAAAACGCGTATGAGGAGTATAGTGCGGAATGTAAAAGGTTTTTTCTCTCTGATTCAGAGAGAATTCTGCAATTATATTGCTCTGTTTTTGTGTTTGTATTTTGGAGTATTTATGAATGCCTTATAAATGAGGATTTTCCTCTATTTATAGGGCAAGGAGATCAATTCCCCTCTTTAGGGTCAAGGTGCCACATGTCAGCCAGGGATTGGATCTCATTGGGCCCTTCTAAGGCTGACACATGTCAGCATACTCTTGAGCCACGTGGCTAGGGTAATTTTTACCCTAAACAATAATAAACAGATTTTATATACTTTCTTTTACTATTTCTATTCTTCAAAGTTCTTAAACACTTTCGTAGAGCAATTCATACTAAATTTTGCTCATCACAATCAGTTATTCAATATCTTCAGTTTGAATAAATATTGCATGTTTATTGTCTTCAATAAACCCCTAACACTATAAATATTACCGTAAAAAATTGTCAAATTATAATTAAAATAATTGTTATTTCTCCAAATGTCATTGTGTACTTAAAAAAATCACCAAATGTCATCGAGCTTATAAAAAATTCACCAAATGCTATTAATGACTAAGGACCGTCAACTCCGTTATTCATTAAGATTAAATCATGATACGTGTCATGATATGATTGATTCATTTTAATAATTTATTTTAAAATATAAAAATAATATTTTTTTTCACGATTTTTGTGACAAAAATTGCTCGGGTAAAATTTTGATCCTTTATGGAAACAAATTAGCTCAAAATTGGCAAAAAAAATCGTAAATGTCCCATTTTGTCTGTTGAAAAATATCTCAATTAGCGTGTCGTTATTTTTTAACCGTAAAAATTGTTCCGGTAAGGTTTTTGGGGTCATTTTGACCCTTTATAAATACAAATTAAGTTCGAAATTGGCAAAAAAATAACATAAAGAGTCAAAGTGACCCCCAAAACTTTACCCGAGCTATTTTTGTCACGATTAGCGTGTCGTTATTTTTATGCCATTTCGAGCTTAATTTGTACTCATAAAGGATTAAAATGACCCTCAAAACCTTACCCGATCAATTTTCATGGTTAAAAAATAACGACACGTTAATCGAGATTTTTTCAACACACAAATTGAGGCATTTACATTATTTTTTTGTTAATTTCGAGCTTAATTTGTATCCATAAATAAAGGGTCAAAATGACCCCAAAACTTTACCCGAGCAATTTTCGTCACGAAAATAGAGAAAAAAGTATTATTTTTATTCATTAAAATAAATGATTATTGTGTATTAATTTTAATAAGTAATGACATTTGGTGAAATAATATTTCAAAATAATGACATTTGATGGTGAAATAAGAATTTTTCTTTTTCGAAGAACTAACGTCTATCTGTAAATAATGGCACGAGGTCTCATTATATTGTTTGTCCGTTACATTTGGTGAATTTTGAAAACCTTGATGACATTTGGTGAATTTCTTTAGTATTCAGTGGCATTTGGTGAAATAGCCATTAAAATAATAATAATAATAAATAAATAAATAAATAAATAAATAAAAGAAGGTATGTCTTAGTGTGTCTAGACTTTGAACCTACCTTGCTTAAACTTATTTTGTTATGTCCATCAAGTGTAAAATCCTAGTGCTCAAAAGTAAGGGCAGGACCGCAGGAAAGTAGAAGAAACAGAAGGCACATCATGGGACAAAAATTTACACAATATGGAATTCAACTTACAACCCTCACCACAAAAGGAGTTGAAGAACTTAAAACATTGTAGCAGCAGCAGCAGCAGCAGCAGCAGTCTCCACTCTTCAGAAGAAAAATTGCAAAAAGAATTAGATACAATTAGATTAAACATTAAACAACCCGTCAGCCAAATCTTCCCGATGTTGCCATTTATGTGTCCAACCAGCAGTTGATATTCCCTCCCATAAATTATGTTTTCCCCAGTTTCTGGAGATAGCATATATGTTCATCCTCCTCTAGGTTTTTTACCCTGCAATGTGCAAGTGCAACACTGAATTAATAATCCACATCATAGTCCATAGCACTCTGTTATCGCGATTCAGCTAAAGACCCGAAATGCACTGCCAACCCTCACCCTCCTAAATACTTTCAGAATACACTTCGAGACAATGAAACAGTCCAAATACTTCTTGGTAAAATGTTACAGTATTAATATACGTTCATATGAGGTCACAGAAGAGCATCAAATGAGGTAAAAATAGAATTGTTGTTTGCTGTATTAGTCAAATGAAGCCAAAAACAAGGCATATATGGTGTTTCTGAAAACTACCACATAATCACTCAAAATTCACCACCACCAAACCCAAAATTTTTTTTAGCCAAACAGCAATCTAAAAACAGTCACCAACATTGTATTATAGGCATAATTAATTGGTCCTTGCCAAAGCATCATAAAACAAGAGCTAACCTTATAAGTAAGATCAGCAACTAAAAGATGCTGATCTAAGCAAAAGCTTTTATCTGACATATTTTTTGATTATTTCATATGCAATACTGTAATAAATCTCATGTGAAACTTCAAATTATACTCCATTCCTTTCATACCAGTTACGATTTACCACTACCTTTTCCAAAACAAGTCACTTTTGACCAAAGAAACCAATAATAAGCTCGAAATTAATTTGTAATGATATAATGTATAAATCTTGCTAGGTTTACCTTTGAATTTTTTTTTCAAAAAAGTGGACAAATTTTGTTTAAGAAAAGCCATATATTTACTAGGACCTATAATACTTTGTTGCTATGTCATTCTAATGTCTTTCAATATATGAACAGGCAAAGGTTAAGTTCTTTCCTCGGATACTCCAGATATCCAATAATTTAGTCACCTATGAGTGCATTGCCTGAGAAGAAGATGATTTCATCCTTTTACCAATTCTTTATTACTAGCCAAAACATCATACACAATCAATGAGAACCTATTTTGTTCGTCTGAGAGGCAATTATAATTGTTTGTGATTGTTTATGTATGCACTTCATTGTGCATGCGCACTGCACACAAATCTCAATGGATAAGAAAGGAACAAAAAAAATAAAATTGTCCTCTAGATTTAGTCCATTCAAAGCCAAAGTGCACAGTGAATAAAAGGTGTTCTCAAATAATACCAAAAGACGAGGCGAGCGTCGAGGAGATAGGAAGAGATGAGGTGATTTGTTGCCTTTTCCAAGATCAAGTTTTTTAGTATCTCCATTGACTTCTTTAAGTGGGAGTGAAGATTTACTTCTGCTATCAATTGAACCTGAGGAAACTGGAGCAGATAAAGAGATACTGGTACAATCTTGATCTTGATATATGAAGTCAGACATTGGCCCTGAGAAACAAATAAGAGTCCCATATATCAGAATAATCAACCAAATAATATGTCGAGCAATAAACATGCAATTCATACTGATGCAGGAAATTGGTATTATCAAGTCAAATCAAGCAAAAAGTGAAGAGCTCCAAAAAAATGTAGCAACAGGCCAACAATAAGTTTGTAAGTTAGTTAACCATCATAGAATCATGTGACTGTTATACACAACTTCCACACATGGTAAAAAAAAAAAAAAAAAAAAAAAAAAAAAAAAAAAAAAAAAAAAAAAGTCAGGTCTACTATCTATACTTTAAACGAGGGATACCATTACAGGTTTGAGAGTACCTGCTGATGTAGCTTGGAATTTTTCTCTCAAAATTCTAACAAATCTGAATAGGCCATTGCTCTTGTTTAACTCATGGACCAACTCTTCAATATCTTTTAAGTGTGGCTTAGAACCAAGCACTACAAAGACATGTTCATCACAAGTAAAGACAATAGTCAATGAAAAAATTATTACCTATCCCAATAATATGTTTCACATTCTTTACACCACAGCACTTACACGTATACTTTTCATTCGCATGGCGAACAGTGAAAGAATACTCCTCAGCTGGACATATTTTGTTGATGTTAGTAAATGTGAATGTAACACCTGCCCCAAAAAGACATTTACTAGAGTTAGAATTACAGCATAGCAACAAGAACGCATGCTCCACAAACAATTAAAATACTAAAAATTACCATGTCCTCCATCAATACGGAAACCAAGTACCCTGTTGTACCATGTAAATGCCTCTTGTATTTCTTCTCTGTTCCTAGAAGCTTCCCGACTATTCTCTTCAGATTCAGCAATAGCTATTGAAAATACAAAAGAAAAGGAAGATTAAGATTTAGAAATCTCAAGAATTAAACAAAAACATTACAAAATAAAACCTGTAAACAATAAAATTTGTTATTGAATCCATGAGTTCGAATTTATGTGTGTTGTACTAAATAAGGGATGATCTCACTTAAATTATCAAATCACTTTGCTCTTCTTGTTTTGTCAAGTTTTCCCCATTCAAGTGTGAATAATGACACTCTGTTTGTCGGGGACTCGGGGTCACCATAAGGTAGATGATAGGAAATCCTTTTGGATAACCATCATAGATATGCTCACAAACCTTATAAAAGGAGGGTAACCCATAGTAGGAAAAGGCATTTTACTTTCTATAGAACTTTATTATCAGCAAAACATAAGAAGAGTACAAACATTGACTTTATGGTTAGCTATTTGTGGTTTAATAAGCAAAAATTAATAGGCCCTTGATCATCTACATTAAAATACACAATAGTGCTGCTATAACAGGAGACAAATGAGCATTGAATACAAACTACTCCCTCTGATCCTAAATATCCTTCCTATTTGGAATCTATATACTACTCACAACTTAAGAGAATCTTCTAAATTCTTTCCAATATATAAGAAAAAAACATGGTCAAGTGAGGTCTTGTTTGATTCATCTCGATGATTACTTTTAGGGGTCGTTTGGTTCGCAAAGTGGAATCGGAATGGAATGGGGAAAGGGTATGGAGGAGAATGGAATGACACCCTTGAAATTTGCTATGTTGTTTGTTTTAATAACAAAGGGAAACAAATCCCACTAGTCCCACCACCACACCACCACCACACAACCACCTAATTCATTAACTTTCCACCTTTTTCGGCCACCATCCATCCACCAAACCACTCACCGGACCTCCCCCACCATTCGCCGCCCTACGCCAGCCCTCCCTCACCCCTGCGCAGCTCATCCCTCCCCCAAAAAACCTCCCTTAGCCCAGAAAAACCCTAGAATCTAGTCTCACTCACCGTAAACCCCATCGGCCGGCCCTCCCCTACCCTTGAAACCGTAGTGCCTAGGGTTTCGATGGTGGGGGAGGGCTAGTTGGCCGTTTTACAGTGGGGGAGATGGGTTTTTTAGGTTTTTCGATGGTGAGTTTCGAGAGTGAGGATGGCCGACGAAGGGAGGGGAGGTGCGGCGAGTGATGACGTGGCTGGTCGTGGTGCGGCGAGGGGTGGGGGAGAGGCGGCCAACGGATCTAAGTGGAGGGAGAGGGTTATGCGTGGGTGAGGGAATATTTTCCGGTGAGAGGAGGGGCGGCGAGGGTCGGGGGATGGCGGCGACATTCCGGTGAGGGGCGGCAAAGTTCCGGCGAGAAGTGGGTGAGGGTGGCTGATGTGGGTACGGTGGTGGTTGGGGAAAGGGAATGGGAAAGGCTAGGGGGGGTGGGGTATGGGAGTAGGTTTTTGGGTAATCAAAGGGGAAAGGGAATGATAGAAATGGAAAAAAAAAAAAACAACAATAAAGGGAATGATTCCCATGGAATCTCATTCCCTTTGATTATTACTGCGAATCAAACGGCCTCTTAGAATATCAAACTTTTATAATTTTTTTATAACATATAGTTCAAGATAGAAATGGTTAGAAATGTGCATGGGCAAGGTGTCAAAAGGAAATTGGAAGAACTTGCAACGAATGCCATGAGCAGGCCGCATGACATGATCACATATGTGAGAAGGGGTAAGAAAGGACACAATGACCCGTTAAGGGGAGCAGCATCCAAATCAGTGTGCAGCAACACCAGGACTGCTGTGAAAAGGGGAGTAGCATATCAAATAGTGACAGCTGCAGCTTTTGTCTTTTCTATATTTTTGGCTGCTTATGTATATATTAAATGGAGCAAGACTTGCTAAGGTAGCTTAATTATTGTAGTATTTTGTTGAGTAGAGATTTGTGGCCTTAAGCTATAGGAGATTGGTGGCCTCAAGGCTCCATTTGTAAGAAAGCTTTGATCTTTATTAATGAAATAGGAACCTGCTTCCCTCAATATGATATTTCTTAGTGCTTTGCTTAAGTTGTCTTATTCTTGTGTTTAGCTGTAGTAGTTCGTTACAGAACTTTTGAGGATTGGAGTGACGGAGGGAGTATAAAATTAGTGTATAGTGAAGCAATTACTTAACAATATGACATGCCATGATGTTTACTGTGAAACTGTTTCTAGTATATCTTTTGTATGAAAACCACTCACACTTCAACAAATATATATTCGTGCAAAGGCAACTACCAAAGAAAAAAAAAATCCCCTTCTATATTTAACCTGAGGGATGTGGATATTTATTATGAAAGAGCAAGTATGTAATATACTTATTCCAATTAGTATAAGGAAATTAATCATTAACCATCTAGCATAATCATTTATAGCCACATGACTGTTTATTAAATCACATCTCCATGGAGCCAAAAACCTAATACACTAACTATGTATATACTTATATTTAGCAAACATAAATTAGTTCAACTATGGTAAAGATATTTACCTTTTGACTGTTCAGATAGGATGGAAGCATATTCATCTTTTCTAGCTGCTTGATCTTGTACAATTTTCTGAAGCTCGTCTGCCTTTACAATTATTTCAGAAACGGAGTCTGTTATTGCAATCTGCTTGGCCTCATTCCGTGTCTTAACTGTGAACAGACATAACATAACATAACATCAGTACATAAAAAACTGCATCAAAATGCTTGCTAATAGGTAATAGCAACATAACTACAGAAGATCTCTAGCTTTCTTAACTCGTGTATACTATATATAATGGTCATTCATAATCACTTAGGCTGTGTAAATAATTAATAGTCATAGAAGTAAATGCTAAAAGGTGACAGAACAATGTGAAAATTGTTGGGAAATTGAACAAATAAGGGAATGGCTTAAATATAGCAAAAATATGAAGCATGTAAACAATAAAAATATAAAACGAGGTTAGAGTAAAAAAATAAAAAAAAAAAACCCTGTGTATGACCCATTTAAAATATATTCCTATGCCAAAGGGCCACCCCAACCATGCATTGCCATATAATTATATAAGGCATACAACATCAGGCAGCTACGGTATGGGTCTGGATTTTTATCCCTCAAAACAACTGCTAGAATATAAGTAAATGCATATATTACAAGAATTAGCTTCCGAAGTCCGAAGCAATTCAGATACTTATGAAGGAAGCAAAATTTAACATAGATGTATCACCCCACAATTGTAACTCAGGTCAAAAAGGGGTTGTTCCACTTGAGAAGAAGCTCACATTAACCATGTGCCACAGTCCACAATCAACAGACAAAGTGTAATGATTATTGGTGTGCGGCAACCAACATAAGTTAAGCTACTAACCAGAATCGCACAGTTTATGGATGTGCAAGTATTAAGACATACAGTAAATCCTTCAAAACATTCAATCCACAGGGCATCGCGAAAAATGATAAGTAATGACAGATACCAAAACATAAAGTAATATGTGAAGGGCAATTGAATATCTTCACTCTCCAATAAGCTAACGCCATAATGTCGAATTATAAGTGAAAAAACCGGCACAACATGATTAAGAGGAGTACCTGCCAAAGCTCTGACCAATTCATCCTCCAATTCTCTTAATTCAACTTTGAGTTTCCCTAATTTCACTGCAATTCAAATCATTTCATCCACATTATTCAGTGAATGATGCAATATATACACAAAAATCGTCAAACTAAGCATATAAATATATGCCTGTATTCTTCAACTCAGCATAAACCGCAGTTATTTTGAAAATCCAATAAACCCTAATCAAGCACACATAATCACACACAAAACTCTAAAATCACAACAGAAAATCAAAGCATAAATTAACAAATGAGTGACAATAAAGAAGAGAACCTTGATTATGAGCAGTTAATTCAGCTTTGGATCTGTGTGATTGAAGAAACTTCCCAAAAGAGGCAAAAATTGAGTCAGTATTTTGCTGGTGAATTTCAATATCTTTGTCACAAACTCTTCGAAGCTCCGACAACTTTGAGAGTACAGTTCCTTCTGGTCTGGCATGGAAGGAAGCCATAAGAGTTGGGAAGAAAGAGAAATAGAAAGAGGAGAGAGAAAGTGAGAGAGATTAGCCCGCCATTTTCAACTTCGAAATTCACTTCAAGTGAACGATCGTTTGAATTTTAAGGTTCGTTTGGCATTGTGTTTTTAAGTTATTTGATTGAATAAAATTTTAGTCAAATTTATTGAAATTTTAATAATTTAAAAAATAGACACTAAAAAGGTGAAAAACACATTTTTGTTGTTTCATGATTTTGGTTTTTGGTCTTCAAAAAAAATAAACTGAAAACAAAAAACAATGTCAAACAAGACCTTATATTTTTGTTTCATCTTGCTGATAATACTACTACAAGATAAAGCCTTAGTCTAAAATGATTTAAGGTCGGCTAACATGAATCGTCATAAGAATCATACGATATAGAGAAATGGACAAAACCATCATTTAAAATACGTAGTAGTTTGAAAAAAATAGGTAAATTTAAGTTTCTTTTCGAGATAAATTTGTGAATATATCTCCTCTCACAACCTAATTATTTTCTTTTATTTTTTAAATGATAAAATGAAAATAATAAAATGGCACAAACATCAATGCATAAAGTTGTGAGTGGAGATATAAAGTGAAATGTTAATCTCGGAGATTAACTGCAGCTCCCTCGAAAAAAAAGATGAGTAAACGAAAGAACATTTAAGAAAATAAAGAATGTGACTCAATTAACAAGAAGTAAGTTAATATTCTTTATTTGCTAAATGTTAAATCTCATTAAAATAAATGTTTATTTTCTCAATGCTAAATGTTTGTTAGATGATAGTGGATGTGCAGTTGTGCACTATTTTTTTATTATTATTATTATTATTTTTTTTTTTTTTTTAAGTTGTGCACTATTGTTGGATGATATTCATTTTCTTGTAGAAGGATGTTCAATCTTATAAAATTATATGTTCATTTTAGAAATATGCTCAAGACTATATTATTGGACGTAAATTTTTGTCAATCGATGTTAAATTATATTGTATGTTCGTTCATTTTATATTAATAAATATTCAAATTTAAAAACTCAAAACACTTTATACAATAGGATGTTGTTTATTATATTTGCTTTTATGGTAGAAAATGTTCATTTCATTTAACAAGATGTTTATTTTAACCTCATGTTATCGGCGTAATTTTCAAGACACAAAGCAAAGTTCGAAGGGTTGTCCTATTACCAAGATGATCACGTGTTTGACTAATCTTGATGTTCAAGGTTAAATTAGGTGGAGAAGGCCAAAGAGACTAATGTTGATGTCCTAGCAACAATCTGACATTAGTGACGCATCTCAATAACAAATGTCAATACTCGACGCTTGACAGCTATAGTGACATACAATGTCCTACAGTGACCTCTAACACGACATCGTCGAACGACATTAGAAGATGACGCACAACGCTAACGCCCTACGTCTGAACATGACGCGTCTCGTAGTTAGACGTCAAAAGTTGTGGAACGAGTCAAGGTTGTTACTAGTAGTTCCTAAAAATAAAGAGAACATTTCTGTCGGCCTTTAACCAGTCAAGGATGTTGTGTATAATGGTTATGAAACTTAAATCAGTCTACATTAATCATATGACCAAGTTTTGAAGTCAACCAACTACTTCCTAAAATCAAGGGACTCATGCACATCTTCCTCATTTCTGCCACTTAAAGCCCTATAAAAGGAGGGCAATGACCAATAAAAAGGACAGAGGATACACATCTTATTCCAAGTATACAACACTCATAAATAGTACAATACAAAATACATCATCAAAAGATACATCATGAGGCTTCGTTCGACGATCTTGACGACGACGCGTCTTTTCCGACTGTTCCACAAGCTGCAAAGATTAACTCAACGTTCATACATCTTCTCAATAGCTATAATGTGCACTTAATCTCTTGTTTTTACGCATTTTTACTATCAATAGCCTAAGACGCCCAAATAATCATTGTATTTATTAATAATGGCGATAAGTTCCGTATCATAGTGAATTGGTGGCCAAGTAGCCACCCGCGGTTTTTACCCACCTTTATTGGGGTTTTCCGCATCATCATATCGTGTCTATATCTTCTTTTTAATTTATTTCTATCATTTATATTTCACAATCTCTTTTAATCTAGTTATCGGTATCCCAACCAAAGGTTGTCTCTTTAGAAATTTTGGCATAAACACCTCCCAAGATGTTCATTTTTTGGTATTAATTGAATGTATATTTCTAAATATGTTCATAAGGGTATTTATTATGGGTATTGATCGATAGAAACTCAAAATCATGACAATATAATGAATTTGATTTATTTTAAACAAAAGAACTGTTATTTTTACTCTATTGTGAAATTAAAAAGTTTCATTCTATGAAATTCAAATGTTCATTATCATAAAAGTAATTGTTTATTCTCCTTTTTCATGTTTATTCCCATGTATATTTTTAATAATAAAAAATCATAGTAATAAATAAATGTTCACTTTTGTGTAAAAGGATGTTCAATTCAGATTTTGCATTATTTTGATGGATTGTAGCTGTTTCGGGGTTTTTTGAGTGTCCTGCGGGAGAGTTACAACACCAAGACTGACCACTGGACGCTTGTACCTGCAAAACAACAGAGACTCCTGTGGGTGGGAGTTCCGCCTCCGACGATCAAGTTAGAACGTGTTTAAGGAGTAAAGTACGGAAAGTAAAAGGCCTCTCTTAGATTCCAAGAGAGTATCTGCAATGTGCAATTGCTTTGTTCAAGGTGTCAGGTGTCTGAATTTCTCTGATTGTGAGTTTATGTGAATGAGAATTAAAAATCGTGCGTTCTCGAGGGGGAAACATCTCCCTTTTATAGGATGTTGGAAAACGTGTCCAATACTAGGTTTCAGTAAACCTAAGACTGACTGGGCTTTGTCCAGGAATTTGGGCCGTTAGAGGCCAGTTTCCTGGTTGGCTACCTGTCTTCCACGTGTCGTGGCCTGATTGGTCCACCTTGGACCTCTCGCAAGGTGACATGTGGCGGACTCTGGTTGGTCCACGTGGATGACACGTGGCAGACACGTGGCAGAGACTTGAGTGGTCCACGTGGCGGGAAAAAATCCCCTAATCATTTACCCCTCATAGGGGTGACGTGGCTTGCCACGTGGCGCCTGTGACAGATGTCACGCTCTAATTGGCTTACGGTTTTTTACCGTTTTTTTTACCATCTCTTGGAATTCACCCCCCTATAAATAGGGGATGTCTAAATCATTTGTTTGGACATTTCCAAAAATTCCAGAGAACTTTGCTTTTTTCAGAGAGAGAACTTTTGACTGCACCAGACCACCTGTTTTTACAAACCGCCTGCTCTTACAACCGCTGTAGATTTTCAAACCCCTTCATCTTCACCAACTAAAGGTAACTGCCTGTTTCTTTTTCTTTTTTTGTACTCTCTGTTTTTTCTTTTGAAAATGGTTTCCCAAAAGCACACGACACGACCTAGGTTAGTGATCAGCCGGTCACCGGGGACGGTTGAATCTAGAACTAGGAGTGTCGACTACCCCTTACTGGATCACCCTTTGCAAACTGCCCCAAGTCCGACTGTCTATGTGTCTGTGCAGGACACCATGGCCAGAACTAAGAGAACTGCAAGGGTGACAAATTCAGACGGTTCTTCCTTCTATGCGCCTGTCAGCGAGTTGTCTGACGTGTCGCCTGGTGCCCTAAGCACTCCTAGTGATTCCATTTTAGACGAATCAGGGGAGCAGGTTCAAACTGATATGCCAGCTTTTGTTGACCTGGCCCACCAGGCGGACATTAGGTCCGAGAGCTTAGTCAGCGAATCTGAGCCAAGTACCTCTAGCAAATTCTCAAACGAACCTGAGGAGAGGCACTCTCGGCTAGGGGCCGCGAGAGAGTCCCTCTCAGTTGAATTGGGAGCAGATTGGGCGGAGCCGTCTGCTACCCGCCGAGAGCAATTTTCCGCCTACTACCATCACGTTCCCGCAGGCAAGCGGAAGATGATGGCCGATAAAATAGGGAGCTTCAGAGCAGACCATGTCATGGGACATGGTTACATTCTATGCGTGCCGGATGCTGAGGAAACCGTAGTCTGGCCAGAGGGGTACAGCTACGGGGATGAGTGTTTTGGCTGCTAAGAGGCAACTATTAAAGCTGGCCTTAGATTTCCTTTGCATCCAGCTGTGGAGCGAATATTGGACGAATACCAGCTAGGTGTCTGGCAACTGGCCCCAAACTCTTGGTTCAATATATTGGGCTATGTTGCCGGCTACGAAATGCATCAAGTAGAGCCCAGCTTCAAAGCATTCGCCCATATGCATTACCTTAGCTGGACCCCAAAAGCAAGCGGGACCAACTAGTTTTAATTGTCTAGCTATAAGGGCTATATGATGACTTTGGGGAAGGAGAGAAAGTGGAAGGATTGGAGAAACACCTTCTACATCATCTCTTGCCTTGAAAAAGTCAGGAACCAAAAATTCAACAGGTGGAATAAGAACCCACCTTTCCTTACAGGCGGTTCGGAGCTGCCACATGTTCCTCGCAAAGCAAAGGAAGAGATCCTTGACAGAGGACTCTTCAAAGTAGATATTCACGCGAATCCCGAGACTGGGGCGAGGGAGTTCATTCCCCAAAATTATATTCCCAAGTATAAATGGTTATATGATGGGACATATTTGGCCGCCTGTGGCCTTAGTGAAGAAATGTCGAGAGGTAGTTGACCGCCTGTTTAAGTGTCTTGTTTACTTGATTATTTTTGCGTCAAACTAACCCTGATTTATCTTTTGCAGACAAAGCTATGGAAAAACTCTCGGCATCAAAGAGAGTTGTTGCCCAATTACGCTTGACCATCTTGGGCAAGCGGTCAACTGAAGAGTCGCCTGTTGTGCAGGCGTCAAAGGTGAACTTTGAACCGAACAGATTTCATTTAGCTTTTTCTGCCGTCTGCTTCTTACTTATTGTGGTTATTTTGCAGGGCAACTTAGCAAAGCCTTCCTCCTCCTCCCAGCCGGATCCTAAAGTTAGGAAACAAACGGCTGGTGACGTAACGACCCCTGGGAGAGCTAGGAAACATGTGGCCTCAAGGCCAGGAAGCAACCCACCTCCAAAATCTCCAGCCGTCTCTGCTGGCAGTCGGCATGGGA